ATGTATTTCATGTTGACCAATCTGACTTTAGTCTTTCTTTCCTCCCTGAGAAAGCATACTCAAAAGACAGGACAGCAATGACATCACTGGGACACTTTACGCCTCCAGTGTGCATGCTTTTAAGGTATACAACTTACAGTGCTACGACTGGATTAGTTGCCACACACTTCATGTGCCAGTAGGAGGCCGAGGAATAGCACAGGGCTTTCTCTCAGCCCCATGACTCTACGTCCCCCGTAAGCTTTTCCTTGAAGGTCGGAAATCAACTCCCGGCTGGATTTGATTTTGAAGGAAATCGGTAACTTATCACATCTGGTGGCCCTATCCTCCTCTCTTGATGAATTTCTTTTATATAATTTGGGCACCCCTCTGTATCCACTGCTGGGCTCAGAAGTCTGTAACCCTCTCCCACAGTCATAGAATTGTTGATACGCTGTGAACGATTTAGCATTTGTCTGAACCATTTAAATACACGATGACAGCATTGAATGACAGAGTAGTAAAAAAATAAACAAATAAAATAGGTAAGTAAATAAATAAAAGTTTATTGACCTGTTAGTTTAAAATAAGTTAATCTAGCATCAACTGAAGTTAGACAAAGTTATTTATAAAAAGTGTTTTGAAGATCCTTAACAGTGAATAGTAAACTAAAAGCTTTAGATAATTAGACAATGCACTCAGTGGTGAGAGCACCAAGGATACCTGGAGAGGAGGGGGAGGGGAGGGGGAAGAGAAGGGAAGGGAGGGGAGAGGAAGGGGAGGTGTAGGACCCCGAAGGGCTGATGTGCCCTGGCTGCAACTTTCTGTGTGCTGCTGTCTGCCAAGTAACATTCTGCAGTTTTTCTAAGAACAAAACATCCTATTGAAGGTGTGATGCCCCGGGCAGGGACTTTCCACTATACAAACCATTGTCCCCCCAGTTGAGTTCCTGTTTGTGTTTTTCCCTTTCCGGTTTGGTGTATATATTGAACCTGCTCAGTAAAAGCCTCGGCATTCTCTCATAAGGAATGACCCAGGTCTGTGTCTTCCTTTAATCCCCCAGGCCTATGCCTGAGCTCTGTACTGTAACAGCACTGGCACTGTCAGGGAGGGAGAGAAAGGAAAGGAAGGGGAGGGGAGAGGATGGAAGAAGAGAGAAGGGAAGGGGAAGGAGGGGGAGGAAGGGGAGGGGAAGGAAGGAGAGGGAAGAGGAGGGGAGGGAAAGAGAGGGAAGAGGAGGGGAGGGAAGGAGAGGGAAGAGAAGGGGAGGGAAGGAGAGGGAAGAGGAGGGGAGGGAAGGAGAGGGAAAAGGAAACAGAATAGGAAGTGAAAGGCAAAGGGAAGAGAAAGACAAAGAGGAGGGAAAGAAAACCAGGAAGTTATGGGCATAGGGAAGTTTTAGAATCTAAACAAGCTATCCATCCACAGCTGTTCTTTCAGTATGCACATCATGTCTAAACTAAAAGTCTTTTTAAGTTTTATCAAGGAGATGTTTAGAGTGACTCTGAATTCTCCAGCTACTTATAATTTCTATGATGTAGTACCCTAAAAGCCAACATGTATCTTACACAAAATATACTCTATCAGAACTCGCTTCTCAGAATATTTCAGAACTCCTGACACAACTTCAGAAATCCATCCTATGCCTCAAAATCTTCACAGCCCAGGGAAAGGAGAGTCTAGTGAAATGGATCCTTCTACAGTGGCCTCACTGTGCACCTGTGATTCAGAACATTGGCAAGATTTCCAGCCACACCAGGGATGTTAGGGGAACCTAAAGGCTGGATGAGATTATAAGTGGATAAGAGTAAAAGACGGCGACCAGGTCAGAGCAGCCATGTTTCTCCGGAAGTGGCTACATGACAGATACCCAGCCAGCAGGGCCAGGTATCCTGTAGAACAATGTGGCAGAGGCAGCTGCTATTTTAGCTGTGGGCTAGACTGTGACAGGCAGTGACTGTGTCCTGCGTGTAGTGGCAGAGCAAACTTCAGAGGATTTGAAAGCCCTCCATCTACTTGGCAGACTGATTTGAGCATGTTGTTCGTGGTCTGCTGCCATTGGACCCCAGCACATGTCACAGGAGTTGACATGGCCCCTGAGAGGACATGCTGCCTCACTGAGATAGTATACAGATGAGCAGAGGACTGCAGTCACATTTTTTGGGGGGTGACATTGTGACTCTGCTGGTGTGTTGAATCAGGAGTCGGTGGAGAGTTCCCCGATTGATGGACAGCAATAGAACGCCCGAAGAGAAGCTGCTCCTTGGCCGTCTTCGGCTGCCTGGCATCATGGTGCCAAGGAACTTGCAGGTGAGACGCTCTCTCACACATCAGGAACTGGAGGCATGCCGTGTGGCACTCACTGCTTCCATCCAGGATGTCTTCCTTTCTTCCTCATCAGAGCCTGTCCATCTTCCCAAGAGGCTGGCCCAACTCAGGAATAATTTTGGCAGGTTTAGCCTGGTGGGAGCCTCCATAACAGACATACAAAAGCGCATGCGGAAGGCAATAAGGGCAGTGAGCAGAACAAAGTCCTCCAGGCCCACTGTGGAGCCATTCACGAACAGCACTGAAGTTCGTCACCACATCCGGCCACCGGCCACACTCAGTCCTCCCTGGGAAATGCCCGTCATAGCTCATTTAAGTGCCGGATCCCATCATTTAAGTGCCGAATTTCATCTTCTTGCCAGTTTTCAGGTTTAAGCACAGGCCTGCCTGCTAAGAGCCAGCTCCTGGACTCCTTCGGACTAATTGTCAAAGACCAGTCTTGATTAGCAGTTCGTTCCGGAAGTGGTGTATAAGATGGATAGGGACCAGTGCTGGTGCTGTGGCCACATTCCATCAGAGTCTGATGACATAAACAAGGACATCTCAGTCCAGAGACCATTCTCGGAGTTTGGTGGAAGCTTCTCTCCCTCACGTCTATATTCAGTCCCACCATTCCCAGAATAGAACTGCTTCTAAAGGCTAGCTCTTTCCCACAATGCATGACCATGCCTGTGCTGGGTAGCCTTATCTCCTGGATAGCTCCAGACCAGGTTGCAGCACATTGCTTGGCTGCAGACTATACTATGCCTTTCATTAATCGTTGTAGCCACACAACATCTTATAATGTGTACAATACTTGTGGAAAGATTTTTTTAAAACTAAATAGTATTTATGAAGTCTTTCTTCCATGCATTTGTGGGCCTCCTCCAATTTCCCTGTTTGTTTGTTTTTTTAACCAGAAAATAAAATAAAATACCAATGAATCCACCAACACTTCTCTTTCAAAATCTTAAAACATTGTTTTATGACATGGTCTTTCAATTGATTTATGTGGTTCAATACTGTGCTGGCTAGTTTTGTGTCAACTTGACACAAGCAAGAGTCATCAGAGAGGAAGAAGCCTCAATTCAGAAACTGCCTCTATAAAATCAGGCTACAGGCAAGCATGTAGAACATTTTCTTAACTAGAGATTTTTGAGGGAGGGCCCAGGTACCATCTTTCGCCTGGTGGTGCTATAAGAAAGCAGGCTGAACAAGCCACTAGGAGCAAGCCAGTAAGCAGTACCCCTCCATGGTCTCTGCATCAGCTCTTGCCTCCAGGTTCCTGACCTGTGTGATTTCTTGTCTGGACTTCCTTTGGTAATTAACTGTGATGTGGCAGCTTACACCAAATAAACCTTTTCCCCAATAAGTTGATTTGCTTATGATGCACCATCACAGGAATAAAACCGTGGCTGAGAAAATTGTCATCGACACTTATTGACTTGCATGCGTTGAACTATACCCCTGCATGTCAAGGATAAAGCCAACTCAGCCATGGTGAGTGATCTTTTTGATGTATGTCTACACTTGGTTTGCAAGTATTTTACTGAGTAATTTTGAACCTATGTTCGCCAGGGCTATTGGCCTCTTTCTCTTGCTTGATCACGTGCTTGTTCTCCTGCTTTACAACGCCGTCCCTTTTACTGCTGTATCTTTCCCTGGTCTGGTATTAGCACGAGACTGGCTGTATAGAATGACTTGAAGAGTGCTCCTCCTGTTTGTGTATTTTTTTTGTTTCTTTCTTGATTTCCTTTGACCCATTCATCATACAGTAATGAATGAGTTGTCTAATCTCCAGTCCCAGGTGCCTGCTTCTATCCTCTGAGGGCACTGGGCACACATGTGATCCCCAAATGTATGGTGAGGCAAAACACCAATCCATATAAAAGTGAAAAAATAAAAATAAAGGGGGAAACCACTATACCTCAACAACAACAGCAGTAAAGAAATCTCAAAGATCTTTGCTCAACCCAGAGAATAAATACACCGAGGCCGAAGACAGCTGAGCTTAGAGTCCTTTGGCTGCTGTGCATCTTCAGACCCTTAAGGGAGAAGTTTTACAGGATGAAGAAAGAAAAGTGAAGGAAGACAATGAGATTAAGAGGAGAAAATGAAAGAAATTAAGGATGTTGTTCTTAAGCTAACAACACATCACAAGACACATACAGTCTATCAACTGTGTTAAATACAACCGCTAATTCTATAGAAATGTTGTGTTTGTTATGATCTTTTCACTATTTCTAGACACAAGATTCATTAGAATCTCACATTCACGCACCAGGCTGTGGCAGCAAACGCCCACAGCAAACCTTCAAAAGCACTTTGAACATCCGGGGCCATCAGCCTTGGCTGGTTATGCTAATGTTCTTCCACTGTTTAAAATACTCTCTCTCCTTCAATGCAGAGTTTACCTATCATGAATATTTTCTTGTCAATTTATTTTAGGAACCAGATTTCCCTAAAATTAGGACAAGCTTCTTAAATACCACTGGAAAAATTATTTATACAGACGTCATCCGTGTAATAAAAATCGGAATCATTTGTTGTTTTAGTTGAGTTGTTTCTCAACTAAAAAATGTAAATACATCAAAAAATACCCCATTTGTGATTCTCACAGACCCCATGGAGGTCTGTCCAGAAGCCACCCAACAGAGGACGTTGCAGCTTAGCGCCCACGTTTCTTTGTTCATGTTCATCTCTCCTGCAAAACCTCAGCCATAATACTCTGCTCTACAGCTGTCGCTTTTAAGATTCATCTGAGACTCTACACTTGACCTGGAGCATAGCAGCAGCTTTTCCCCATCATCTTTGTGCCTCCGTGTCCAGAGCTCCCCTATACTCTGTGACCTGGGTGACAGGGTCTCAAATTGGATATATGTCTCTTTTGACAAATCATCTTCCCAGAAAGGGTCTGATGAACATTGCAGTCTGCAGACTTTGTATAATAAGAAACAAATTAGGGGTACGACAATCACACAGGCAGTACTGGTCACCACGATGAGTAATGACCACTGTGAGTCAAGCCCCTCTACCCTGTTGGTAGAAAAGGTGATACACTGATCCTCCCGGGGGCCCATTCCTTTTGGACAGACACATGCCACGTACTGACTGCCCGGCTCCAGGCCATTTATGGTTGCTTGGTTCTTGCCATAGTCTGCATTCACTAGCAGCAGGTCCTTCTCACCGTACTTAGAATACAGCACAGTCACAGCGGACTCCTGTGTGTTGCTGCTGCTGCTGTTCCACGTCAGGGTCACACTCACGCCCGTTTCGCGGGCCACCCTGAGGTCTTTGATAGTAACATTTGTTTCCGTTGGCACGGCCTGGTCCAACAATGCCAACTCTTCTTTCTTACTTGCGCTGAGTGGAGGAAACTTCCTTCCGTTCTTCTCTATCTTCGTATTGCTTTTCCTACTGGATTGGAACTGGGGTGGCTGGTGACTAGTGCTGCTGGTGCTTCCTGAGATGCTGGATTTTACACTGGTGGTTGCAGAAGCAGCTGAGAAGATGGGAGGCAAAGAGGAGGGAGGAGGAGGCAATGTAGACGTAGAGAGAGCAGTTGAGGGGGTGGGGTGGGAAGAAGCGGAAGAGAGTCTCGGCGATAACCAGGACTTAGATGGAGGTGTTGATCTTCCTAATCCCGGCTGGGAATATTGCTGTTCAGAGTGCTCTCCCGGGCTTCTTTCTGAAGTATCTAGTGATAGGGTGGTTGTAACACCACCAACAACTGTCACAGTCACCACAGCTTCCGACATCCCTGCCAGATTTTTGGCTTTACATCTGTAATCCCCAGCATCCTTGTCGGAGATGCCTGTCAGGCTTATGATGGACCATCTGACTCCTTCTCCTGGAGACTCCTGAATGACTAGAAGAAAACAAATATGTACACATGAAGCCTAGGACCTGCCAGCCAAGTACTCCGGTGTCTGCCTGTTAGGAAAATAATTTTTTAAAAGAGTATGTGGGATGGAAACCTGGAGATCCGGGTCATAGTAAACTTTTGTCTCTTAAGCAGCATCCAGTTGTGTACAAGGTGACTGGTATGTACATGTCTCTGTTTGTCAAACAAGAGGATGAGGAAAACTAATCTTAAAAACCTCCCACTCAGTTTTGATTGTAAATCTATAAAACATTTATTGTAAGACTTTACTTAACTCTTTGTCAAAAAAAATTTTTCGCTGTAATTTAATGTATCTTTGCCCATACCAGGAAGGAACAAAATGTCATTTTCTGGCATAGAGGAGTTATGATTTTTATCCTAAGATTCATCTCATATTAAACTCAGATAAATGAGAAAATTATAAGCTCCCTTGTTTACAGAGTAATATATAAAAATATGTAGAAAATTGCAGTATTTCTTTGCTAAACGTTAAATTTTTTTTATCTGAAATCAAGACAGAAGGTTCCTAAAGAACAGTATTACAGAAAGCAGGGTGCCAACAGCCCAGATGTGAACGTAAACTTCGAGAATTCAAACTTTGGGTTGTCTACCAGCAATCTATAGGGATAGTAGACCTTAGCTTCTTTATTCCATCAAGTTTAATTTTTAATATTTTTTTTGTTTTTCGAGATAGGGTTTCTCTGTGTAGCCCTGGCTGTCCTGGAACTCACTCTGTAGACCAGGCTGGCCTTGAACTCAGAAATTTGCCTGCCTCTGCCTCCCAAGTGCTGGAATTAAAGGCGTGCACCACCACTGCCCTGCAAGAGTCTTTTGTTTTATGTATGTGAGGACACTGTCACTGTCTTCATTCAGACACACCAGAAGAGGGCATCAGATCCCATTACAGATGGTTGTGAGCCACCATGTAGTTGCTGGGAATTGAACTCAGGACCTCTGGAACAACAGTCAGTGCTCTTAACCTCTGAGCCATCTCTCCAGCCCCAAGTTAAATTTTTAAACCTCAATTTTAATTTTATTTTAAAGAGTCCCAAAACTACATCCTTCTAATTATCAGAATATCTTTGCTTAGGTGAGCCAAAGCCTGGCCTTGTCTTCACGGGCTTTAAAAAAATCTAAATAATATTTCTAAAAGTATTTAAATAGTTGTTTAAAAATTATATGAAAGACTTGGAACATGTTTCTTAGATTTACAGTTTAAAACGAGTGTATCCAAGAAAACTGAAGAAGAAGACAAAAGTCTCGGTGGCAATCATGTGTTTACTTCACATGAAATTTTTACCTAAGGAAAGAAAATGACTTGATCATCTAATTATTTTCTAGATATTTATATAGAGTGAGAAGATTTTAATCAGTAAGATGCACTGTTGAAATCCCTTGTGTTCATAGAACTAGAAATATAGTACAGAAAATCCTGGGTTTTATTCCAAGTGTTGAAACAAAAGTTTATTTGACTTTGTAGCTGAAAGTGTCCACTTGGTGGTAGAGCAAACACTTGCCTAGCATAAGGCCCTGGGCTCCATTATCACCACTAAAGACAAAGACATAGCTCTACAACCTATGCCACTGCATCCAATGACCTTAGTCTCATACGAATTCACTAGCCATTTAAATTTGCATGAAAACATGAGATGCAGTCCAGATTTTTGTAAACTTGTTTCATGTCCGAATACTAACTATACCTGTATGGTTAACTGGAGAGCTGTCGGATCTGGTCCACAACAGCTGAGGGGTGGGGTAGCCCTTGGCATCACACCTCAGCAGAACATTACTGCCCAGAGCAGACGTAATTTTGGTAGCCGACATCATCACAGATGGCTTCAGACACTTTTCCAACTCCACCCTCTGAAACAAGATTCCTTGGAGGTGCTCGGGTTCGCTGCAGACCATCAGAGGATCAAGAAGTACAACAGTGTGGTCCAAGACTTTGGACAGCTCGATCACTTTGGAAATGTGACAGTCACAGAACCAAGGGTTGTCCTGTAAACCTAAAGGACAGAAAGAAAAGGGACAGTAAAGGTCATCCTGAGAAGTAATGTTGCAGCACAGCTTGTCTTATGACAGGAGATTGTCACATTATCTCTCTTATAAATGAAGTTCTGGGAGGGACAATTACAGTCACTGGCATGTCGACTTTGCTCTAAAAGCCCAGCGATCTCAATACGCATATCCCCTTCAAGTTGTCAATACTCAAATCTAGCATTTCCTCCGCTCTATATACTTGTTGTGAGTTTGGTTTATTGCTTATGTCAATTGGGTTCCCAAATTACACAGGAATTCACAGGTCTGTATATGAGACACTGAGGGTCCCTGCTCCCAGCTGGTTCTAACTGGTAAATAAAGTCACCGGTGGCCAGTGGCTGGGGAGAGAGACAGAGGTGGGACTTTAGATTTCCTGGACAAGGGAACCATGGGAAGAGGCTTTAGAATCTCATGTTAGGAAAGGATAGAATGGAGGCTTGAGAGCTGTAGAAGACAGAGAATCAACCATGTAAGAGCCGGGGAAGAGCAGCCCCAGGGGCCTCTCTGTGGCTTGGGTCTGAGTAGCAAAGATGGAATACAGATTTTAGTAAGTAATGATTCAGGAGTATCGGAGGGGAGGCGTAAGCTACGAGGAAGTTTGAGAGAGGGCCCAGCTATTCCGCTGTTTAAGGCATATTAAAATGAAGGCCGTGTGTGTGTGTGTGTGTGTGTGTGTGTGTTTCATTCGAGAATCCAGAGCATTTTAGTGGGTATCGAGGAATACACATTGCTGCCAGCGGGGCAATTTGAATAGAGCTAATTAATTAATGTTTCATATATTAATCTTTATTCTCATTTAATCCCAACAATTCTGTGAGGAAGGCAGTATGTTATTGTTATTTCCATTTTAGAGGTGAAGAAGTTGAAGCACAGAGGTGCTAAAACCTTGACCAACGTCACATAGCTAGTCAGTATTGGAATATATACATACACATACACATACATACACATACATACACATACATACACACACACACACACACACACACTCCCTTATATCCCACTCACCCCCCTCCTAGTCATTGAACCCAGGTACCACAGACTGCCGTAAGTATGAGATAGAGTCACAAAGTCCTAGAATACTCAGAGAGTGCCTCCCAGCCCATCACAGGGTGCTACGAGCTGCCTAGCACAGCCTGGAATGTGTCATGGGTTTGTGTCACTGGAAGACAAATTGAGATAAAAATGAGGCTTTTGAAAGCAGAACCAGCAAAAGAAGGTGATAGACCAGAAAGGGACTTTGCATGGATGCCATGTGTGGTGGCCACCAAGGTGATGTGCTGAATCTCAGGACAAAAGAGACAGACAGGCTGAAGGTTTCCGACTGTGAGTATCTTTGGTATCTACCCCAGCTTTGGGGACTGTGAGCTGACGTCATTTGACCCTCAAGGAGCTTGTCATTGAGAGCTTAAAGGAAAGTGATTTACAGTTTCTAGAAAGGAAAAGAAAGATCCTTGTTGTGGAATGTCAGAAAGGTTAGTGGTGTTGTCGTCTGGGGTAAGTGTGAAGAGTAGAACGAATGCTTATGTAGCAGAATGTTCTCTACCTAAGGGAACACTCATGTAGAACACCAAGGCTGTTGCTGGGGACAGAGCTTCTTGCAACTGATGGAGGCTGCAGCTCAGGAACCATTCAATGTAAAATAATCAAAGATGTTGGGTTCATTCCCAGCCTCTCCAAAATTACCAGAAAGGCATTTAGAGCAAAACAACCCACGGTAAGACTTTGAAAGTCTTGGAGGGACCCAAGGTAGTTCTTTAAAACATGGACTAGGGCAAATGTCTCTCTAGAGATGCTGTCCTCTAATCAACAGCTTCCCCATAAGCTTGGGACAAGGGCTGGCCTTGGAGACTTGTAGTTGTAGCTTTTGCTGATGGCCTGGGATCTGAGCTGAGAAGAAAATGGAGAACTGTGATTTAAGGAATTCTAACAATGCTGGACACAGAACTGCCCGTTTGTAGGGCATGTATTTTCTCTTCTGCCTACTGCTACTGTAACAGCGGGTCACAGGGGGGTCATTCTCCTGCCGGGACTGGTTACTTTTTAATCTCCTATTTGAGAAGTTTGTTTTTCTCCTATGGGTGAATAACCTTGAATCCTTTCCTCTTACATTAAATACTGTGAATCTATGCTAGTTCTCTAATTAATGCTAATTTGTATTCTTTTGAATATTGGTTCCTTCCCCTGGTTGCATGCCATAAGCAGGCTTCTTGGTTTATTGTTTTTGTTTTTCTTTCTTTCTCATATTGAATAACTAAGTTTGGGTATGAAACCTAATATCTAGGCTGAAATTCCAGTTCTAGAAATCTCCAGAACATTAGATAGATGCAGCAACCTCTCCCAGAATGTATATAATGGCAGCTACTCTGCCACAGATTTACATGAATGTTAATTTACTAATTCATGTAAACTACCTGACGAAGGATGATCTGTGATAAAACTATCTGTAATCTTTAACCATCCTTCCTAAACATACATTAAACCCATTGTTGGTATAATCAATGCTTCAAATTATGAATAAGCAATAAATAACACAGAAATGTTGTTGGTATATACAGATTCTCTCTTCTCTAATCCACACTTTCTTGCTGTTGACAGAGATTAACTTGTAAGATCAGCACGTCTCTAACAGCAAATAACTACAATCGACTTTCAACCTCACTTCCTTCCTAGACTGCTAGATATTCATTCACTGTTGTAAATGCCAGCTGATTTGACATACTAAGGGTGGGTTTAAATATGGTGTGGAAGAGGAATGGAGGTGGCGAGGAAATGGCAGGAGGAAATGTCCTCTTCACTACCCCTACCATGCATGGATTCTAAACAGGGCTGGGAAGCCTCATGGAGCAGCCTTCTGAGCCCTCACTTCTTCATCTGTAAGAGAAGAAACCTGAGAAATCTCCAGAGCACCCTCTCTTCAGAAACAATGTTTCATCAATCTACAAAATAAAAATAATAATCATGGATTGGAAGAAATTTAAGGATGACCAGCAAACTAACACCACAAGATTACCACCAGTCCGAAGCAGAACAGTATGGTACATTCCCTGATCTGTAACATTTTTAATCTCTCAGTTGAGGTATAAAAGGTGCCTCTTCATAAAAACACCTTAGGCCAGGTATGGTGGTATGCACTTTTAACCCCAGTATTCAGTGGGTAAAGGAAAACAGATCTCACTGTGATTTCAGTACTAGCCTGGTCTATATAGCAAGTTCTAGGCCAGCCAGGGCAAAATAGTGATACCCTATCTCTAATTAATACTTAGTTTTAATAAATGTTGGTTAAGGATTTCACTAGATTAGCCGGGCGGTGGTGGCACACACCTTTAATCCCAGCACTTGGAAGGCAGAGGCAGGCGGATTTCTGAGTTAGAGAGTTCGAGGCTAGCCTGGTCTACAGAGTGAGTTCCAGGACAGCCAGGGCTACACAGAGAAACCCTGTCTCGAAAAAAAAAAAAAAAGGATTTCACTAGATTTAAGGTAAAAACAAGTTGTCCTGGTTTCATTCCTGTTGAAGTAATAAAACATCCTGACCAAAAGCAACTGAAGAGAAGGAGATATTTGGGTTATGAGTCCACTATAGTCCACTATCACAGAGAAATCAAGCGGGATTCTTAAAACATCACATCCACAGTCATAAGCAGAGAGAAGACATGCATGGACCATTGCTTGCTTGCTCTCTTAGTGCTCAACTGGCTTCCTCCACGCAGTGTACTAAGAAACACAACAATCTCGGAAGGGTCTCCCTTGGTGGGGTCTTCAGCAAATGGGGTCTTCAGCAAATGAGAGAAGGGGAAAAGCCTCAAAGCTTTCTGAAAGGGCCGCGCTGGCTCCAGGACTATCTAACCAGGTGTAGACAAAATCACACAAGCTGTTCTAATAGAGATACTGCTCCCATTTTTTTGTTTGTTTGTTTGTTTTTTGTTTTCCTGCTGAACTTAAAAGCATCGTTCGTTTTTGTGTTGTTGCTGTTGTTACTGTAGTCTGATGGGATTTGAATGAGAACGACCACTGTAGGCTCACATATTTGAGTGTTTGGTCCCTTGCTGGTGGAACTGCCTGGGAAGGATTAGGAGGTGTGGTCTTGTTGGACCAGGTGTGTCACTGGGAGTGAGCATTGAGCCAGATCCAGTCTCTTGTTCTCTGCGACAGGCCTATGGATCAGACGTAAGCACTCAGCTTCTGCTCCAGTGCCCTGCATGTCTGCCTGCCGTCATGCTTCCCATCATGATAATCATGGACGATCTGAACCTGTAATGGAGCTCCCTGAATTAAAGGGTTTATTTGTAAGTTTTATACATTTTCTTTATAAGTTTCCTTGCATAGTGTCTCAGCAATAGAAAAGTAACCAAGACATCTGCTTTCTCCCCTGAGCGCAAATGGGGATCGAAACCTCAAGAGAAGGTTGTCCCCTAAAAGACCCTGTATGAGCCCTTATGCCTTGCTAGCAAATATAAACTGGGACAGCCACTATGGAAATTACCGTGGAGGCTCCTGAAAACAAACAAACACACAAAAAATTAGACTATCAAATCACTCAGGCATACCACTATAGGGGACACACCCAAAGGACTCTAAACACACACATATAATCATGTCTGCTGTCATTCTATCACAATAGCCAAGACATGGAGCCAGCATGGATGTCCACCAGCAGACAAGAGGATAAACAAAATGTGTGCATACATACACCGGATCCTTTTCCAGCTGTAAAGAAAAAAACAAAATCATGGCATTTTTTTCCAGGTAATCGAATGAAGCTGAAAATCATCATATTAATGAAATAAGCCAGGCTCAGAAAGACAAGCACTATGTTTTCATTCAGAATCTAGGCTTAAATTATATCCCTGCGTAGATACATATGTTGTATGTATAGGTCACGAAAATAAAAAAGGGATCATGAGAGGAGAGGGAGATATTGTGAGTAGTGGGGAGGAAAGACAAGGTAATGAAACACAGCATGGAG